TGTTATTACTATCTATAACAGATAAAATGAAAGAAAATATTGAGTTGGACTTTGATGCTGGGCCAAGCTCAGATTTCACTTGGTCTAAGTTTCAGCCACTTGTTTCAAAGGCAGCCACAAAGGGAAACATTATGTCAGGAGAACAGAAAGGAACTCAGGACCTCTGCTCACTAAGTAGGTAGCCAATACTGGGGAAAGGTAAAACCAAGAAACAAGTGAAACCAGGGGATATGGTGTGAAAGATATGTCATTTTGTGGAACAGTATCATCAACTTCCTATAGAACAGTCAGTAAAAACAGATTATAAGAGTGACTAATTTAGAGCAGTATATTTGTTGTTAAATGCTGCAGAGTGGAAGTATATGTTTGGGTTGATACAGGACCCACAGCTCCCTATGGAATGATCACAGATGACTATACCTGATCCTGACACACAGCAGGCTATTTCCAAAGAAAGAACTAGCCTAGATGACTAGATATAAACCACTGTAAGGATGTTCAGAAGGGGGCTATCAAACTTTCCCTACAAATGCCAGTGTAACAGTCCAGATACAGCAGCTGATATGCTTCATATGCAAGCCATGTTGGACTAGCTCTATGATAATCAGGATATTCACTCACTGAATATCTTGTTACCCAGGTCATGGTAAATTCTATGATTAATGTGACCCATTTTGCATGGGCATTCTATGTAACCTCACTGCTATAAAATCTAGCAACAGCAGAAGCCTTATCTAATCTGCTATCTCAGCTTCCCCTCAAGAGCCTTAGGAATCTAAAACAAGACTAGATTAATAAACAAGAGAACAGAGAGAAGCAAAGGGGAGAGTCAAGGGACTTTTCCTAGCAGGGTAGAAATTTTTAAATGGTTATTAAGAAATGGGGTGAATAAAGAAAATATTGATAGGGGTGAAACAAAGAGGAAAGAGAAAGGGGAGAGTCAAGAAACCTATTCCAGAAGGGTGGAAATCTTTAGATGATTATTTAAAAGTGGGATAAATAAATAGTCATTGGTGGTGTTGAAACAAAGGTCAATATAGCACTATTGAAGGTTGAGTGAACCAAATCAAAACTCTGCTGGTCTCCCAACATTAAAGGGCCCCAAGCAAGTCCACTATATTTGCTTCCATTCGGAAGTATTTTACAAATGAGAAGGCAAATATTTCAATAAGAAATTGGACGTGGAAATGCTTGGTATCAAAATTGGACAGATTAATCTAGATAAAGACTGTCAAAATGACAACAGACCCAGAGTTAGAAACCCTGCTGGAGATCCAAAGCCTTTTGTCTTTGAGTGGATATAAGGGTCAAGGAGTGAGAGAAAATTTTCTGGGATTTCTTAACATGGGAGTCACTTGCACTGTGGTACCAAAACCCATTGATGAAGCCCTAATATGGGTTTCAATTAGATATAGCAGGTATAGAAATACAAGGGTTGATAGGATTAAGGTGGAAGTTTGGATGGAAATTAGAATATTTAAACAGTCTCTGTGTGAAGAGGCTGTATCTCCTTTATGTAAATATTTTATGAGAAGAGATATTATGTCTGACTGGGGAGTGTCTGCTCTATCTAGCATTATAAAATGAAAACTTGTTGATGAAGGCCCAATGAAGGCTACAAGTAATGGCTGTAATGTAAGGGATGACTGGATTAAGGTGAAAATTGGGGGAAGAACTGGTGAGTTAGAACAGGCTTTATCTGAAGTAGTTGCAGCTCTATTGCATCAATGTACTATTAGGACAGACACTGTGTCTGACCTAAGACACGTCACCTACCTAGTACTGTAAAACACAAGGCATGTAAATCTGCTCTTTAAGCAATATTAATTGGACATGCTAAATGGGAACCAAAAAAGACTGGCTGAGCCCACACACTATAGAACAGAAACTGGAGTGCTGGTAATGATAAATTCTGAGACAGTCCTATGTTGAGTGTATACTAGGGCTTATGGCAAAACCTGTGAGTGTCTCCCTGCAGTGACTACTGGGGCTTTGGGAATGTTCATTTCAGGGGCAAATTACTAGCTGGTATCAGACACTAGTTATAACTGCCCCTAAGACTGAAGGGCATTAAAATAATTTTGAAATACCCATAATGACTTGAGTAATGTTGGATAAATGCTTTAATGAAGAGGATATTGCCCAGAAGAATTCCATAATAAAACGGAAATGGTTTACATTTGGCCCTCTATATCTGTGGGTTCCCTTATGCAGATTCAACCAACTGTGGATCGAAAATATTTTTAAAAATTCCAGAAAGTTCCAAAAAGCAAAACTTGAATTTGCCAAAGGCAACTATTTACATAATATTTACATTGCATTTACAACTACCTACATACCATTTACATTGAATTAGATATTATAAGTAATCTAGAGATGATTTAAAGAATACAGAAGGCTATGTAAAAGTTATAGGCAAATACTATGACATTTTATATGAGATTTGAGCATCCTCAGATTTTGATATCTGTGGGGGTCTGAGAACCAATCCTCCATGGATACTGAGGAATCACTATATAAGACTTCTATACTATGGGAATCTAAGAAGACACCCACGAGTAGGGAGCTCCTTCCAGAGGAGTGAACTTGTAACTGTGTGAAGAGCTGCTGGACTTCACTATCACTTGGACACTGTCCTATAAATAGCAATTAACTAACCAACAAACAGGTGCCTGGCTTATGGATGATACTTCAAAGGTGAACAGAAAGCATACTGTTTGGAAGGCCACTACTTTGAATGGAAAAAGGTAAAAACAAATCAGTTCTGTGGGCTGAATTGCTTGCTGCTTGCCAGAATGTTTTAGTTTTTACTAACTCATTGGTGTTGGCCAATAGCTTGGCCAAATGGTCAGACAGAAGGGCAATGGAAAGCTGACCTATTAAAGGGATTCCCATATGGGACACAGCCCTGTGGAAATCATATGGGAATCTGAAATGTACATTAAAACAAAAC